AATTTCTTTACCTCTTTTGGTATTTTGTCTTCCTTCTTTTTCCTAGTTTTTTTAGATTTCATTGCTCTCTTTCTCTTTTTTCTTTTTAACATTCCTTTCAAGATATCATCCAAATAATCATAATCTCCTTCACCCTCATCTGGTCCATAAATTTCATCAAAATCATCTCCTTTATAATTTTCAGATGTTAATTGAGATGATTCTGTCATTACACTTCTATTATCATCATCATCACTTTCATTTTCTTGTTGATCTATCAAGGAACTTGTTGCTTGTTTTAACAATTCTGAATTTTGTTGATTACCAGGTTCTCGGAAAATGTTACAAATTTGCATTGCTGTTTGTACTTGATTTGTAGCTGAACCTGTTTGTTCTTCAATATATTTTCCAATATCAAGATTCTTTAATTCATCCAAACTTGGAGTTGAATCAACTCCACTACCAATTCCACCAATATGTAAATCATCCATCATAAGATCACTAATATTTAATGGAGCATTCTGATTTTCCAATGATTTTGAAATATTAGTTTCAAAAAGTGTTGTTGGATGATGTTGATTATCTTGTTCAATTGGAATGATTTCAGTCAAGTATTCTCCTCCAAATAGTGACAATAAAGAACCATCATTATTAGGTAAAGATAATCCTGGTGTTCCAGATAAGAATGATGATGATGGTGGTGGTTGAAAGGTTTCTTGATGTTCTGTTGCAATTTGTATATTTTCTGAATGATGATGTTCCTTTGATTGTTCTATTAATGATGATGATGCAAATGAAGCTAATGATGGTGGTAGTAAATCTGACAGTTTTAAAGGCTCTTCGGAAGATGATTCATTAGTTGAAGAAGACTTTTTTGAAATAAAGGCAGTTATTTTAGGTTGATTGTTTTTCTTTGGTGGCATTATTATATACAATTATAAACTTTATCTTCCTCTTTGTAGGATTATTTAGTTACTATTATTATTATTATGATAAAATTAGGCTTCTTGTTGAATGTTTTGCATTTATTTTTTTAATTAAATTCAATTAAATAATTTAAAGCCTTCAACCTTATCATCATCACAATGATGAATTATCATGTTATTATAGTGTCGTGACTAGTTCAAAATGTAATCTTTGTGGAGCTATTAGTCCTTTTTTACTCCTCTTTCTTGTTAGTTTCATATAGCCAATCATTAATAGAAGGAAAATTCTTGTTCTTGTTGGATAGAACAATTACTAGTAGTACCACTTCTTCTTCCTCGTGGTTTAATTATTCTTTGGAAAGAATGGTTGAATCTTTTGATGAATTTCCTCTTGTCTCGTATCAAAAAGAGCCTTGTTAGCATCCAAACATTGTTTAACTTTATCAAAATCTGTTTCATTCTTACTTGTTAAGAAGGAATCAAATTGATTAGCACATGGTGAATCATGAAATAATATACACATATCACAATCTCTATCAATATCAACCTTCTTATCGGGAATCCATGAAAGTTGAACTATTCTTTGCATATTCTCCATTTTTTTATATTAAATTTAATAAAAATCAAATTTAATATTAATAATCGATCGTTATCTTTACAAATTGATAGTCAATCTATTAGTGAAATTTAGATTCAATCAACATTATAAAACCAATGAATTCATAATATTTCATCATTAAAATAATTATTTCAAAAATGTTTTGGAATTTAAATTTATAAAAAAATGTCTTTAAAGCCTTCAGCACTTTCGAGCAATGAAAAGAATTTTATTCTAACAACACTTGATGAAAACAAGCCTATTGAATCTAATACTCCAACAAGTACAAATAAATCGGATTCAAAGAAATCAACTCCAATAGTATCGTCATCATCATCATCCTCACTCCCGAGTATTTTAAGAATTGATGGACGTGATTTATATGATTATAGAAGTATTGAATTTTCTTTACCAACATCTTCACAAGAACTTGCTGTTCCTTCAGG